GCCGGAAGCCAGCCAGGCCCAGCCGATCGCTGTCGTGAGCAACCGCCCGCGACCACGCCCAGCCAGGCCCCGTCTCAGCTCCCAGCAGCGACGCCCAGGACCACCGCATGAAGGCTGACGTCCGTTCGTGCAACACCACGATCGCCAATCCTCAGCAGCACGCACGCGCATCGCTACTGCTCGTCCGTGTCTGCTTGCTGTCGCCGATCGCATCGTCCCCAGCGTGCCAGTGCAACGCGCGCAACAGTCCCGCACGCCCAGGTCACACGCACGACTTCCTAGTGCATCGCCAGTGCACGTCCGCAACACGCACGCTGCCAGTGCTCGTCCGCTGCGACCCACGTACCTACCAGCGACCCGCGCCCGATGATCGAGACCCGTGCACCGTTCGACCATGATCCGTTTGACGAGTTGATTAGAATCAACTAAAGGTCAAACTTATCTGCCCATTAGGTTGTGGTGTTCAAACGAACTTCACCAACGGTACTCTACATCGTCTCAGAGTCGGCAAAAATTTTAAAAGGTAAACGTCCATATCCTAACTATAGATTCCGATGCGTTAGGATTTATTTCGATAAAGTTCAATACTGTGCATGTTGTTTGACGTTCCTAACAGAACCCAACAACTGGTATCAGAGCCCAGGCTTAATGCAAACTCGTGCACAGTTTGAATTTTGGACTTTGCCTGTCTACATGAATTATTTGCGTACGAACGCAGCGGCATAGTAGATTAGAAATTGCAATAAGTTTTTGCAGGTGTTTCGAATCCGAGTATTGTCGCCCGTATGTATGAATTTTAATTCATGTTGAATGTATGCTGTTTTTAAAGCCTTGGACATGTCAAAGAATTTATGGGTTGGTGAATGCTTGTAATAAATTATTCGCGCGGTGGAACACCGCATAGTTTATTGCTTTCATAGAAACTCATGTACGGCTCCTGCGTGGGTCATAGGATGAATTATGTAATTGTTGTTTATATTATTCGTTGTTGATCCGGCGGGCGTGGACCAACCTTGATGGGGCAAGGCAATAAACACGTACACGGAAGCCATGGTGATGATCCAATGGCGACTTTGTTAGAGACGACTAATTCAGTGGGAGTCACTGCGAAAGAGGGAGTTCCAATACTTGAAACGGAGGGCACACTCAA